CTTCATCCTCTCTGGTCTCGCCGCGGCAGCACGCGCGTCCTTATCTTATCCTCGCTTTTTCACGACCGTGTAAGCGACGCATGTAGTTTTTCTTCGAGGGAGTGACGCCTCTCGCCCGCGAATTTTTCTTTATCCCGTTCTCGTTCCCATTCTCGTTCTCGCTTTTCCGACGGTTTTCTAACGCGTAACCTGCAAGTCGCAATTAATTTTCCGTCCGCGCGAGAACGCGTCCTCCCGGCGACGATAAATCAAGCAACGGAGTTTCAATTTGGCGCAACGAGCCGTAGCCACGCCGAGAATTCTCATTACGAAACGCATGTCGTTAATCAATGGAATCGGTCGCCCCTGTGTCCCAAGCGGAAAAACGCTTGGACTATGTGCACTGTTGCGATGTATTCGGTGATACGATGGATGCGTGTATGTATACTTATTTCATATACTGTTTGATGGTTTCAGAAGTCGCATGTCGCGTGAAGCGCTGTTTTCTCTCTCTCTCTCTCTATATAAGAGATTCTCGTCGTAATTCTTATTTAGGAATCTATCTAAACTCTTTATTAATGCACACACAGAAAGAACGATTTTTCTAATGAGACATCTAAAAATTTAACTACGAGCTACAGAGATCTGAAATTTTCTTCAACTATTAAAATAATTATGTAGAAACTTAGGCACGTAATGAGCTGCGAAACATTTTTATATTCTAGCAATTAGCTTGAACATCCTACGTAATTATTTTTTCATCTGTATCTAGTTAAATTTTTAGGCACTTGAGTAAAACTATTCTTTCTGTGCGTGATTCGTTATAAATGTAGAACGTATGTCTCTCATTTCAATAAAAAGTTCGGTGGAAAATAATAATATGTGAGACTAGGTTCCTATTTTGTATATTCTTATGACAGCAGTATACCATCCTTATACTGTCGTTAAGAATTGCAGAATAAGATTTCGCAGGTTTACCTACGTTACCTACGTTAGCTGTTTAAGAAATCTTTTTTAATTTTGGATCGCGATATAACTGCGCAGAAAAAGTATGACGCTTAGTTGCAATATTGCTATGAACGATGAATTTCTCGATGCGGCACACACACACACACACACACACACACACACACACACACACTTTTTAATCTCGATATCGACCATTCTCGATATCGACGGTGACACGGAGAGGTCGAAAAGTTTCGCACGTAGCGCAATGTCAGTCGAGTAACGAGGTCGTTTGCGCATGCGCGCGCGCGCTTGATCGGATAGCTTGCTCGGCATCTTGCTTACAAGACACGTAGCATCGGCAGGGGTTATCGAAAATTTAATAACGTTCGAATTAATAATGCTGGTGTTGCTGCGCGCGATGGCGGGTGTGAGAGACGGAACGCTACATCGCGCTTCG